CAGTGTGAACATTTTATCATTTAAGTGGAATATAGATAATCTTGCTATCACCAAAGTTGCTTTACCGTCTCCCCTTTATGGTATAGTCATCCTTAATATTACCTCTATATACATTGAGAATGCTATGATTTTTGCTTCTGTCAAAAATAATATTTAAAACTCAAGAGTAGTTTATTTACCTTTCTGTTGCCTTTTCTTCATTCCTGTTGTTCTGAGTTACCTCTTGTTATCATATCCTTCCTGTTTGAATAACTTCCTCTAGCCATTCTTTGAAAGTAGGTCTGCTTGCAAGAAATTACCTTAGCTTCCCTTCATCTGAGTTGTCTTTATTTTATCTTCAATCCTAAAGGATGTTTGATGGATATAGAATTCTTGATTGACAGTTCTTTTCTTTAGTACTTGAAAATATTATGCACTTCCTTCTGACGTCTGTAGTTTCTGATGAGAAATCCTTTGTCTTTTGAATCTTTGTCCTTTATTTCTCTCTGATGCTTTGAAGATTTTTCTTTGCCTTTCATTTTCAGAAGTTTGATTGTGATGTGTCTAGGTGTGTGTTTTTTGGGGTTTTTAACTGTTTTTCTTAATAGGTTTATGTCTTTTCCTCATATGGAAAGGATTCAGCTATTATTTCTTCAAATATTTTTTTGTCTCTGCATTCTTTTTCCTTTTTCCTGAGACTCTGGTAAAATAAGTGCTAGATTTCTTTTTTTTGGTCTTGCAGGTCCCTGAGCCTTTGTTCATTTTTTAAAAAGCTATTTTTTAATAATGTCATCTCCATTTGATTTTTGTATATTAATCATATATCTGGAAACCTTGCTGAACTCATTGATTCGTTCTAGTAGCTTTTTTTGTAGATTCTATTGAATTTTCTAGATAGATGATCATATTACCTTTGAATAGCTACAGTTTTATTTCTTTTCAATCCAGAAGCCTTTTATTTTTCTTACTTTATTACACTGTCTAGAACATCAAGTATAATGTTAAATAGAAGTGGCAAAAGCAGACTTCTTTACCTTGTTCCCTATTTTGGGGGGAAAACTTTTGGTGTTCACTAATAAATATGTTAGTGGGTTTTTTTCTGTAGCTGTTATTTATCATGTCTAGGAAATTTCCTTCTGTTTCTACTTTACTGGAAGATTTTATTAGGAATGGTTGTTGGATTTTGTCAGATGTATCTTCTGTGTCTATTATAACCATGTGTTTTTCCTTTTTTAGCTTTTTAGTCTGTTGCATTACATTTATCAATTTTTGAATGTTAAGTAAATCTTGCAATCCTAGGATAGACCTTATTTAGTCATGATGTAGTATCCTTTTTTATATTATTGGATTTAATTTGCTAATTTTTCATTAAAATTTTTGCATCTATGTTGATGAGATATTGGATTGTAGTTTTCTTGTAATGTCTTTGCCTGGTTTTGGTATCAGGGTAAACTTCAATTTTCTGTAAGCGTTTGTATGGAATTGGTATTATTTCTTTTTTAAATGTTTGGTCAAATTCACATGAGGCTACCTATGTCTGGAATTATTTTTTGGGAGAAAGCTTTTAAATACAGATTCAATTTCCTCAGTAGATACAGGGCTATCGTGGTTATCTATCTCCGTCTTCTTGAGTTACCTTTGGTTGTTTGTGCTGTTTATTTTATTGGTCTACATTTAAAAAAATATTTGAAAAGATTATTATCATTTAAAACTGTGTCATTTCTAATGTTTGTGATATCTCTTTTTTTTCCTGGCTAGTGACTTATCAATTTTAATAATCTTTGCAAAGAATCAGCTTTGGTTTCCTTTCTTCTATTATTTTATTTTCCAGTTTACTGATTTTGACTTTGATCTTTATTATTTATTTTGTGTTTAGTTTATTCTTTTTCTGGTTTCTCATGGTGGAAGCTTATGTCATTGATTTAAGACCATCCTTCTTAAGTGTGGGCTCTTAGTGCTACAGATTTTCCTCTCAGTACTGTTTTAACTACATCACACAAATTATAGGTTTTACTTTCATTTTCATTTATTTCAAAATACTTTATTTCCCTTTTGATTTCTTAGACCCATGGGTTATTTAAAAGTGTGTTATTTAGTTTCCAAATATTTGGAGATTATCAAGACATTTTTCTGTTACTGATTTTTAACTTAATTACATTGGTGTCAGGGAACATACTTTGTATGAGTTGAATTCTTTTAAATTTACTGAGGTTTGTTTCATATTACAGAGTCTGGTTTATCTTGGTTAATATTCAGCTGTTATTAAGAGGAATATTCTGTAAATGGGTCAAAGTAGTTGATAATATGGTTCAAGTATTTTACAATTTTAATATGTAAATTTAAATATGTTTTTCTAATATGTTTTATATATTTCACATTTGTACATCATGGATTCATTTTTATTTTATCAGGGTATATTCTTTATTACTTGTTATGGCACATTTTGTTTTACAAAGAAGGTCACAACATTATCTTCCATTCCTCATGCTCTTCTGTAATGTGGCCTTGCAAGAAAGAATGGAGTCTTCATTCCCCTGCACTTGAGTATAGCCTGTCCTTAGTGACTTGATCAATGTAGTGCTGTAGGAATGCTGCTTCCTGGCTTCTATGACAGGGTCAGGAAAGGCCAGACTGCTTTCACTTGGTTTTCTTGGAACTGCTTGCTCTCTAGACATTCCTTCTTAGATTGCTCCCTCTCAGGACCTACCTGCTGCACTGTGAGAAGCCAAACCCCATGGGGAAGCTATGCATAGCTGCTCTAGTTTACAGTCCTCACTGAGCCCATTCATCAGCCATTCCAGCCCAGAGATCAAATACATAAGTGAAAAAAGAAGTCATCTTGAAAGTAGATCCTCCAGCTTCAGCTTTTGCAGCTGTTGATGTCAATGCCAGTCTTTTTTTTTTTTTTTAAAGATTTTATTTATTTATCTGACAGAGAGAGAGATAGCGAGAGCAGGAACACAAGCAGGGGGAGTGGGAGAAGGGAGAAGCAGTCCTCCCGCGGAGCAGGGAGCCCGATGTGGGACTCGATCCCAGGACCCTGGGATCATGACCTGAGCTGAAGGCAGATGCTTAACGACTGAGCCACCTAGGCGCCCAATGCCAATCATTTGACTCTTCCTAGAGGAAGCCCCAAGATACTGTGAGGCAGAGAAGAGTCAATTCTGCTTTACCTTTCTGAAGTTCTAGCCTGTTGGCTCTCCAAGCATAACAAATTGTTTTACACCACTAAGTTTGATTGATGGCTTGTTGCACAACAATAGGGGTCACTTCATTTCAGTAGGATTTGCAAGAGGTTTCAGTCCCTACATACCTGAAAATATCTTTAACTGCACTCTTAATTGGCTTTGGAACTCTTGGATGTAAAGTAATTCACTCTCAGAGCTTTGAAGTTATTTCTCCATTGTCATCATGTATCCAAGTCTTGCCAGTGAAACGTGATGTAAATCTGATTCTCAATACTCTGTGTGGATATTGTTTTCTCCCTTTTGAAGCTTTTAGGAGTTTTGACCTTCAGATATTTCTTCAGAGTTCACGTAGGTAATCTCTAATCCATTTCTTTCTGAGGACTCATGTCTTTTTATTTGCCTCAGTCTATTTATTATACTTTAAAATCTTTTTTTTTTTTTACTCTTTTAACTCTCCAAGATTTGGGTATTTCTTGATTAATTACATTTGGTTTCCCCCTTTAACTGTGTTGTCCCTCCCAATTTAGGTGGTTCTTGGCTGTTGTTGATTTTGTTTGCTTTTTGAGATGCCCTTTTACACTCTCTGCAAATACTCTCAGTTCATAGTTGCCTGTATCCAGAGGTGGTTGAGAATTGCATAGTACCAGGAAAAGTTTAGGGGTTCCTGGTTTTCCTAGGTGTCACTAGATACTGGGAAACTTCCTGATCCTTTGGGGGTAAATACACATATTTATTTCTTTTACCCATGGTCTAAAGGCAGCAGAAGAGGTGACCCACTTGCTCCTACGGAGGCATTTCAACCAATAATGTTTTGGTATCCTTCAGGGAAGTCTCTTCGCATTTTTGCTGCTTCAGTGCATGGAGCAGTCTCCACTTTGGGCATCAGTTTTTTCCTGGGCAAAAAGTCTTGAGTATATGATTACCTCCTTTAATCTGATCTCATCTGCCTTTTGTCTTTCAAAGAGATTCCTGATTATTTGGTTTCTCTGAGGACATCTACCCTTTGTTTTTCAGGACTCTATTAATTTAAAGAGCTGGTAGGTCTCTGGAGTAGGTGCTCTGTCTACCGTTTTAGTCTAATTGTGGTTGTTTTGTTTAAAATGCACAGAAGTCTCATGTGCTATGTTTTTATATGCACGTGTAGTTCTACTTTTTCTTCTGCTAGTTCTTTCTTAGGCTAGTCTTATTACAGGGTTGAGAAACTACTCATGTGTCTCTTAATCTTGGATCTCTTCATTTATCCTTGAATCTCTGTATTGATAAAAATCTTTTTTGTGGATTATATTAAGAAGGAAAATTATAATGTTTTATTTTTTTTTTTTTAAGATTTTATTTTATTTATTTGTCAAAGAGCACAAGCAGGGGGAGTGGCAGGCAGAGGGAAAGGGAGAAGTAGGCTCCCTGCCATGAGTAGGGATCCTGACGTGGGACTCGATCCCAGGACCCCCGGATCATGACCTGAGCTGAAGGCAGCCGCTTAACCGACTGAGCCACCCAGGCGTCCCCAAAATTATATGTTTTAGTTTATGACTTTAATTTTGACAAGACTGCATGGAATATGTTATCAAATACAAGTGTTGCAATATAGCTTGTAGAAATTTTTAGAAACATACTGCTTGTGTCCCACATTTTTTTCTGTTGTATATAAAAAATACTTAGAATGATTTTTACTGACTAAAATAATCACAATTTTATGAGGTTGTAAGAGTCAGTTTTTAGTATATTTGTATAGGTTTTCATTTCGAGTAAACCAGAGTGCTTATTTTTTCCCTAAACTGGTGATTTACGTGAGACTTCACTATACTAAAGAAAGATCTTTTTTTTTCCCCCCAGGGCAGCATCTCAGACACGTCGAAAAGGATGTTTTGATTCCTAAAATAATGAGAGAAAAAGCCCGAGAGAGATGTTCTGAACGAGTTCAAGGTAAGATTCAAATATTCATATAAATATCAAATACATTTTTTATAATATGATCTGAATTTAATCCTTAGCCTCAGAGTCAAGTAGTGAATGAATTAATATGTATGAATTGCTTCTCACCCTTTCACGGAGATACCAGTATTTCAGCTTTGGAACTTCCAGACGGTGTTCAATTCATTTACAATTTAAAAATATTCTCCCAAATTACTAGTAAAAAATTTTTTTCCCAGAAGTACAGTTACATATATAGAGAAAAACTTGGTTATGAGTATTTTAGAGAAACAAGTTATTCTGGTGATTTTGATAGGGAAAGAGAAACCTCAAATGTAACATGTACCTGTTTTTTCTTCATCAACATATTCTTATAGATACATATTCTAAGGTGATTTTCTTTGGTGCCATTGTCTATTACTGAATTGTTAATGGAATCTCAGTAGTACTTACAGTGAGTCTTTTTGTTTTTTATTTTTTTACTTTTCTATATTTTACATTTCTAAATGGAAGATATTTATGTAAATGCATGCATTAGGCACCCACGTACGCATATTTTCTTTAGAAAATGTTTCTTAACATGAGATACTTCTGTATTCTGTAAATCTAGAGAGATGCTTTTGATTAGTATATAATATTTAGTGAAAACATGTAAACAAAGCAGTGGAAGGTGAAAAATGAGGCCATATATGGAGGGTCATTAGAAAAGCAGATGGCAATATTACTGTAGAAATGTCTTTTTAAACAAATCTACCTCCTGGAATGGCCATCTAAAAGAAATAGTAGTATAATTTTTGCTGATGTAGGCTGTTTCCTGTCTCCCTTCTTCACCTTTCCCTGTAGTCTTCTTCCTTGAGGGACCTCAGTGATTCTTTGTGAGGATGATGGGCTGTAATTCCACAGCAGGTTTCTCTACAGGGGAGCCAGGCTGTGTCAACTGTGGTTTTGGGACCATGTCAGTAATGTTTGGATGCCAGGAACATTTCTGTCCCTCTGATGGTGTTCTCAGAGAATGACCTTTGGAATCCATGGATTGAAGCAGTAAAAGAAGAGTAATTCCTCAGAATGGACATTGTGTGATGGTCCTTTCTGTTTCTTAGATGACTTATTATGACCTATTCCAGTTTCAAATCCATTCATAAGATTTAAGTTAAATCCATCCATAAATAATGTTATCAATAATTACTTAGTATCATTCTATGATACTAGTTTTGCTTTCACTGTGAATTAGTTGTTTAATCAGGAAGGAAGGTTCCTTCCACCCACACCCCCAGGTGTCAGGAGAAACTAACCCATTGCCACCTGCAGACAGGGCTCGGTGCAAAGCTGGAATTGGCAGATGTAATGCTGATAGTCTGAAGAGAGAATTCTCCCCTTGCCTTAGAACTTGAAAAAAAAAAAAATACCTGTCCTGACTCAGGTGAGGGAGGATAAAAATCAATGTGTGGTGAAATTATAGGGCTAAAATTTCCCTACCAGGAAAATTTACTTATTACTGATATATTGGCTCAAAGTTATAAATATGAGCTGTATTTATGCTGTTTTTAACACATTATTCTGATATTTAGAATGAAAAAAGCTTTACTCACATGATTCAGATGAAAATGCAAAATTGGGTTTGGGTTTCAGAACTGCCTTTGCTTACTCATAGATAGTGAAACTGTTTTGGGTTTTTTTAAATGAAAGAAATAGAGTATAACTTTAAAATATTTATAAGTTTGTGTTGCACAACGACTATCATATAATGAGTGGTACAGAAAAAATGTTTATTTTTTGCTTCTTTATCAGAAGTTAAGTTGTTTAGGATGTTTGTTGATTGGTTAAGTTTTTTTAATATACTTAAAATCTTCTGAAGACTGAAACCGTCTTAAAATTTGACATCTGCTTGGGTTATTGCAATGCATTTATCCCTATTAGAACATGTTATAACAATTGATTTTTGAATATTTGAATCTTTTATAGATAATAATATATTGATTTTTTTTTTTTAGGCCATATGGTCTAAAACAGTGTTAGAGAATCTAAAATTGATTATAAAACAGTACTCTTTAGTATTCTTGCTTAATCATGTGATTTAGTAAAGAGCATACATTGGTATTAAGCAGCAGCAGAAGAGCTACATTTGAACTGAACAATAAGATGTAATTTAGAATCAGGACACTTCCCTTGTAGCTTATTTACTACTTATAGCCTTTGCTTTATTAAATAATTGTAGGAATTTATATAAAAGCATTATGTGTATAGCTCTTGGGTAAAGATACAGGAATTTTAATAAGTGATCTGACTTTCTGCTAAATGCCTTAAACCTGATTATGTAGGAAAGCTTTTCTGTTTAATTTTTTGCATGTCATTTCAACCCAGCTGATCATAAGAACTGGGTCACACAGCCAGCAACTTAGGTTTGTGAAGGGAATGGAACAGCTTTTCCAAGGACAAAGAGAAATGAAATCACTTTCAATGAAAGAAAGATGCCTCATTATAGTCACCAACAGCAGTTATTGACAGCTACACTTCCTATTAACAAGGAGCATTTAACTAAGAGTTTGGCTGTTGGATCTTTGGACTTGATCTAATTTGCTAGCATTAATTAGTTTCTTTTGAGCACAGACACTTGGTGCTCACAGCTATAGATTTGGAGGGCTAATTAGGATAGAAAATTGAACAGAATGGGGTAAGGCATTAACCTTCAACCATTACCAGCTGGGACACTGATAAAGACCACAGAGTCCAAATGCTCCCTATTGATGTGAAGAGTACCCTAATGAATATCAATTTCAGCCAGGTTGCTATATTCTTACTAGTTCTCTCTTCATTATAATTTTTAACCAGTTTGCATGATACCTTCATTATCTATATATATACTATTGGTTTTTACTATACACTGATTTAGTCTGAGTTGCATATTTTGTCTTATGTTTAAACACAATTAAAATTTGTCTTAAGTAGCCAGTAATATTTAGAATGTTTCATTGTTATATGCCTTAATACTTCTAAAATTTAATTTTCATTTACAATTCAGAATTCTTATTCTGCAGTGAATTTTTATAAAGTCACAGTAACTGTGATTTCAAATAATGAAAACTATAACCAGAAACAAAATCTCAGCTTCTGGGTAACATATTAAACTGGTGTCAACTTGACAATCTTTGTCTTTATAAAATACACTTTTTTTGTTTTTTGTTTGTTTTGCGTAGAAAAATAGTACTCATCACCTTTTCTTTTGGAATTTAACTTTGATTTGATGAGTAAAGGTGGCTTGACTTAGAGATTAGATACAGAATTGAGAATGCTGATCTTGTTATATACACTTAGATAAGATTATAAACTGTTGGTAGAGTATATATCAACAGAAAAGAAAGTGATCAATTCGTTTAGATAGACAACTAAATTTTATAGTATTCTTCTTTTGCCAGTGATATTGGCAGTAAATAGAGCCACTAAAATTACCAAAGTGTATTTTTAAATGTTAACACAATGAACACTGACTATGTTGGGAATGAAACTGAAGAAAAATTCTAGAATGTCATGCCTCTCTAGGTCTCCCATTTCCCAAAAGCCAAAACAAATTCTCTTCCATCAAGTGTGATGGTGGAATCATTGCTTTTCTTGGATCTGGGAGTTACCAACTTATGATGTTTTAGGAAGATGGTTTGATGACCTCTGGAGGTTACTTTTCATTCTATGACTTTTTGCATATGTTTAACTCTTTGCTAATTTAATTTATATTTTCTATGTTAGTAATACTGTGTCATATGTTATATATATATATAGTTTGTCATATATACACTTATATAATGCATATAAGTAAAGTATGCAGTCTCGTGTTACAGTTTTTCTTGTGGAAATAGTCCATGAGAGAAAGAGTCACTGAATTACTGTTTTGTAAAAATTCATTATATTTTGCTGCTTTTTTTGAATTGCATAGTTGGCATTTGATATAAAGCTTCCATGTTGAATACCGAAGTTAGATTTAAAAATAACTTTTTTTTTCTTGTTTCTATGACCCATCAAGACCAAAGAAGTACCCTATCATCAGGGATGGCCTGGAGCTCTCTTTAACCTAGATGTATCTGCTGCTTACTAACTCCTTTCATCCTTTGGGCTTTCTTTTACCTTATTTTAATGTTTCTTTTGTATTAGTGTCTTCTACAGCAGTCTTTTTGATCTTTTGCCCAATATAGGTGGGGTTAGTTCTAAAGGAATTCTATAAAGCATAAGGAAGCACGGATTGTTCATTTCTTTGAGACCTCGCAGATCTGTAGTTAAGATAAAATGCCTGTCTTCTTCTGTCAGTCACATGCAATTAAATACGTTACATTTTATAAATTCGAAAGATAATATGAACTGATAAAAAAATCAAATTAGGAATGCTTTGGATATTCTTTAGGATGTTTACAGGCGATCCTGTAAACATTAAAACATTATTAAAACAAATTGGAGGACTGCAGACTGCAGATGGTCAAAGAAATCAGTCTTTTATCCAACTGCATTACTTGTATCTGCCAAAAACTTTTCCTTTGTTGTTTGAATGGTGCTGTTATCACCACGTATATTTTTGCCATTTAACAGTTCACCAGTGTTAACTAACACTGAAGTGGAGATAACTAACTTGGATATACTAGGAGGGTGAAATACATAAAATCACCAAATATGATGCATATCTGTTATGTATAAGAGTAGGTTATGTACTCTAAGAAATGTAAAGAGCAGGTACAGTTCCCCTTCTTTGGCCTTGCACTGGACTCATCACCTATTCATACTCATGGCTAAGATTTATTACAGCCAAAGGGAAAAGGCACATCAGATGAAGTTCAGAGGAAACCAGGCGCAAGCTTCCACAAGCCCTCTCCCAGTAGAGTCACTCAGGATGTGCTTAATTCCTCCAGTGTGGAATTGTGTCAGCATGTGTGAAATGTTGTGTACTAGGGAAACTCATTAGAGACTTTGTCCTCAGAGTTTTTATTAGGAGCTGGTCACATGGGCATCCTTTGGTTAGCATTACCAAAATTTCA